AGAAAAATGCTTTGATTTTAGCACTGACTTGCACAGACCTCATTCTCAAATTACTTAAAAGCTTTACCTACAACTTCAGGTCTTACCACAGTTAACCAATCCTTTTAGTGTCTTTCTATTTATACTGTTATGAATAGAAAGCCTGTTTATAGTCTGTTGCATATTATTTAGTGCGAAAGTTTAAAATTACTTCTAAGTATCATGAAATAGTGATTTTTCCCCCATGAAAAAATCTTGATTTTGGTAGATACAATAAATGAGGATATGAGAAGGAGTGATTATAAACTTATTAACTGAGGAATAAACAGGCTATGAATTTTTTTAAAAAGTATATTTTCTCTTTTCTTTTACTCTGAATGCCATTTCCTAAGATAAAACATGCTCTACGAGATCCTTCAGGACCTATGCATATATATCTGCCTTCATATACAAATAAGAAAGAAAATGTTTTATTATTTTTGTAACTAGTAGAAAGTAATATTATGTTTGTTCCAAATTCTAAATTTGGGGGAAAAAAGTGAAGAATTAAACAAATATGGGCCCTAGTGCTCCTAACAGATAACAACTAAAACTGCAGATGCTGAACTCATTTTTTTAAATAATTATTTCATTACTTTCACAGTTTCATGGCTACATTCTTTTAGCTTCATTCTCAGTGTCTATTAAATAGGGTTGGGAGAGATCAACCTCAAAATATTTATAATTTAAAAGATTTCTTAAGCACAAGGTAAGCACATTGCTATAGTTAATAGATACTCCTTGTTTAATTTTTTCAACTGTTTATACTTGGCCCCATTTTGTTAAAGAGGGTATGTAGGATTGCTTATTTGATGTACACCCAATACACGATCCTAATGGTTCCCAGCGGTTCTGCCAGACTACATGCAAAAGCCAACTCATAAAAGGGCACAAGTACCCTACAAAACTTCCCCCTAAAAAGAAAAGTAGAATAGCCATTCCAAGTCAGAAAGCTCTGGTTAATGATACTTGGAATACTTGGTAAATATAAAATGATAAAATTTGCAAGAACTGTTCTAGGATTTAATGTTTGTTTCTTATATTTCCTGTCATATGAGAGCACATCACAAAAGTACAGACTTCCTGAACTCTACAATGAGGTATCAGCTTCAAACTGACTTAGAGGCAAAATCCAGCTTCTAGATTGCCTTGTTCTTCTTTGATACTAATTATTCCAGCATTAGGCAAATGACTGAGATTCGGAAATCTAAAAGATCATAGCCTAAGCAATGTAGAGACATTAGAAAATATTAGAGCAAGTCAAAGCTAATTTTAAAAGATGATAGTCCAATCACACATTTCCTAAAAGTGGCAGTGGAGTTTTTACTTATTAAAAATAAAATTAGCCCTGGCTGGTATGGCTCAGTGGATTGAGCTCAGGCTTGTGAACCAAAAGGTCACCAGTTCAATTCCCAGTCAGGGCACATGCCTGTGTTGCAGGCCTGGTCCTCTGGTTGGGGGTGTGCAAGAGGCAACCAATCACTATATCTCTCACAAATTGATCTTTCTCTCCCTCTCTTTCTCCCTCCCTTCCCCTCTCTCTAAATTAAATAAATGAAATCTTAAAACTATAAAATAAAATTGGATCTGAATCTAAGTCCATAAATTAATGGTTTTACCCTCATTTAATGCACAACAATTGTTTTCTAGTGTTGACAGAGGGCTCTTATAGTTCTGCTGCTTACAAGGGGTTATTTTGATATTCAAAAATAAATACACATACACATATAAAACTTTTGCATCTATCATAAACAAGGGAAATGTACATCATAGAAAAGGAAGTGACCCCGTGCTTTTTGACCACAGGAACGTCATGTTCTTGGGAACCACAGAACCTTTAGAGCACCTTGGCCCCGAAAATATTATAGGGCCCATTCCCACCATGTGACAAAGAACAAAAACAAATATTAAATCACAAATAGTATAAAGAAATGTCATAAAGGCTATTTAAATGCATTTTAAGATAATAAAAACTACTTAAATGTTTTTAAAAATAACAAATAATATCAAGTATCCCTCCGCCCCAAAATGCGTTGCTTTTGATTCCTTGTGATTAGTTTGCTCACTGAGTACCTACCCTAATCAAAAAAGACAAGTTCAAAACTAAAGGCCCACTACAATTTGGAAGTTCAGAAGTTCAGAGGAATCAGCAAGAGAGTGGTCTCCATGTCAGACAGTCAAGTACAATGCTGGAGAAAAGCCAAGCCAAAGGGCGTGTTCAGTTTGTGGGGAGACATATGAATCTGCACTCATAGGAGGATTGGATGGCATTCCACCCTTGTGTAAAGACTGGGGAATAGATTTCAGAGAGCTTTTATCTCCAAAAAGGCTTGAATTTTTGCCATCTCTTCCCAACCTGTTAGGAAATGAACCCAGGAGTAGATGGGAGCAATTGTCATGGGTTGCACATCTCCCAGGGGAAAACTGCCAGTGATAAGAAAGTGTTTAGTAATCAAGGTGATCTTTTTCAAAAGTTTAACTCTTTGTTATAAGCAGCAAAGGGATTTGATTGTTTCAATGCTTATGATAGTGGATTTTGAATTTGCCCATAAATGGATTCTGCCTTCTGTAGATATTAAAATTCAACTTCAGAGATTTCACATTTCAACCAAGGCCAGAATACAGAGAGGAAAAGGGGCTCCTCATGATAAATGACACTCTAAAATACCAAACATGCTTATACTTATGAAAAGAGCTTTTAATAGCAAGTATAATTTATTTCAGTTAACTGTATTACAAAAACCGTAGTAAGCTCTGATTTTTCATATTTCAAGTTAGAAACTAATCTATGTTCCTAATAGCTTGATTTACTTCAAGGTATTATAAAACAAATCCTTAATTTCATCAAACACAATCCCTTAATAATCTCTATGGTTAATTAGATAATATAATGACATACACAAAGTATATTGATATGATAGGATGCTTCTGAATCATCAAAGAGAATTCTAATTATATCCCATTTAATTTTGGTATCATATATGTTTTACTATATTCTAACTCTGAAAAACTGGTAATCAATATATAATTTATGTTTATACAATACTCAACACCCAAACTTTAGAACATAGCTCTCAAAAGGCTTCAATTTCCAAGAAAATTTTAAAAGAAAAAAAATAAATTTGATTGTTTCTGTTTGCCATATTATATGCAATCATAAATTAAGAGATGCTACCCTGAATGAAGCAAAAGAAAAAGGTGACCCCACGCTTCTTGACAAATATGGAAAAGTCGAATTCCAACACCACAATAACTATTCAAACATTTGTTCGGCTCAAGAACATTTCAAGTGAGCATAATTCTTTCTGCATATGCTCAGAAATGTATTTCAAACAATAACAGCTTTATTAATTTCATATCAAGCTGTCATTCTAATGGAAAAATCATATCCTTTATTCAGTCTAACTTAAAATACTTATCAACTCTTTTTCTAGTGAAGGGGTTTTCCCCCCTTCTCATTCTTTATAAAATGAGTTAGGAAGCTTTAAAAAATGTTTGGATACAATTCACCTTTGGCTCTCATGCCACACAGAGAAAATATTAGTCAGCTAAAAAGAAGAAATTTAAAAGACATTACAAGCTAATGAAATTTTCTCAACTTCAGAAAATTTCTGACAAAATGTATTATATCCTAGATTTTTTTATTCTAATTACTTGGACTAAATAACTGAATTTTACATTTAAAATTGTTTAGTTTTGTAAATGGCTTGTTATCAATTTGTAATAATATTAAAAGATTTTGATGAAAGTAGAAAAATCAACTTAGTACACATTTTTAAATCTATATTTAATTAGAACTTTTTATCTTTGAAGCATATACTATTTTTGTTAAACATGATTCTGTATGACACAGACTTAGTTAATACAGAGTTGTAAAAAAATAATTTTTCTAAGATAAAAATACAGTAAGACTCAGAGAGAAAATGCATTCTGTTTTGACTTTGCATTTTTGAGTATTTACTGCATGCATCTTACAACATCATTGAAAAACAAAACTGGTCTGCCATATTTTCTCATAGTTTGGGGGTTCCTTAGTCTCACCTTAGTAAAGCATTATGACAAGGAAAATCAAACAATTAAGGACCTAAAATTAAGTCTACCTGAAAAACCTTCTATTATTACTTTTTATAAATGTTTTGGTTTCTTTTCCATGAAAATACGGATGCAATTACTTGGGGAGGTAGAGGGAATGTGCAGTTAGTATGGATTTTTTTGTTTTGGTGTTTGTTGCTTTTGTTAGTTTATTGTTAGAGCTCTCTTTTACCAAAGTTACAGATATGATTAACATTTTCAAGATACTGAAATATTGGAAAATCTTCTTTGTATTAGTTTTATCTCATGTGAAAAGACACTCCTCCTAAATCAATTATCAAAATTCTGTATGTTTAGAATTAGGAGTAACAAAACCATGAAGACAGCCAATTTATAAAAGCCCATTTTCAGAACTGGAACAACTTCTGAAAATAAAGAGGATACTTGGCATACATTATACTAAAGGAAAAGTCCTACTTTCATTATTTCCTGATTCTGGGAATCCAGTAAAAACCTTATGAAATAAAAACTCGTTTGTGAAAATTCCGTCACTGAAAACATAGCCAACCACCATCACAACCCCCTATAATAAGAGTACGGAAACTCTTACTTTTTCTTATACATTTTAAAAGGAAGATTAAAAGCTGTTTTGGATTTTCCAACAGCAATGACTTTGCAACTGAAAGATACACAAGTAAAATACATGCATATTCATTTTCAAAGAAACACCAACAAAAATTAAAACGTTGCTGATTACGTAAATACTGATGACGCCAATGTGGAAGTATTTGCCCCTGTGAAGGGCCTAAACAGAATCACATCTTGTCCTGATCATACCTGCCTGCCAGGACAAAGTAGGCAGCTGACCAAGTATGGGGTGTTTATCTATACAGTAGTACCTTTGTTCTCCAACAATGTCAGATTGCAAACGTCCTGGAACGCATATTTACCTGGAGGATTCTTGGCAGGATCATTGTGGCTTGGACTTCCTGATTGTCCAGAATCTGTAAAGAAATCATAGAAAATGTTTTATTTTTAATTTGTTTTGAAAGAATTTCACAATCCTCAAAAGGACTTTAATTTTTTTTTTTTAGGTAGAACAATGAGGTTGGGTGTTTAAATAAAGTATACTTTCCCAAGCCTTTCAGCAACAAGATTTTATTTATCAAACTAGATGAATGTCTATACATATTTCTATGTCAAAAAGGAAAAAAAGTATAGATCGGTAAGATTCATCAGGTAGAGCAAGGCTTTTCTGAAACAAAAGGTCTGATGAGAAAGGTGGTTTGAAGGTTTGGCCTGTCAGTAGCAATACGAAATACAGCAGGTAAATCCACTAAAAATGCAACCTGAGTGTAATTAAACATGCTTTAAAAAACCTAAAAATGTTTTTACTCAATGATTAAAATACACAGAAATGAGAGTCCATTTTTCTAGGATTTCATGTGCATACACACATACCCACGCCAATAATCTCTCAACCTACTGGATCTAGGCCCAGATTTGTCTGCATCCCATAATAGCCATCGATTTGCAAACACCAAGAAAAGCACAAATTACTAGGTAGAAACCAACATGGCTTTGTGGAGAGCAAATTGTTGGATCAATTTAATTTCCCTCTGTGACAGACAGAGAGACTCTACAGATGAGGAGGAAGAGGATCAATGCCGTCTATCTGAATTTCCTATGCGAGTTATTCCTCATCAATGCTGCAGAGAGGAATGTGAAGGCTACACTGCTGTTAGGCAACACGCCTTCCCTAACTAATCCCATCCTGTTTTTGTGTTTTCCTCATTTCTCTTTCCTGCATGTCCCCCCTGCATTTATCTGTGTCATTTGCCCCATATTATTATACTCTTACTTGCACATCTCTTTGTAATTTTCTTTGGTTCTAGTATTTAAGTTTCGTCTCCCCAACTAAATGACATGCTCTTAAGCAGAGGTCGAGATTCTGTCTGCTCCCTCTGTACCTTCCTCAGTGTGTCATTCATTGTCTGTGATGCACAGGGCTTTCAGTGAATACCACAGAAATGGATGGCTCTGATTCAGCAGCCTCCTTTGCTTGCCTAGGAAAGGCAATTTTGAACTTGCTAGTAAATATCAACAAAATTTGATAGGTGGGCAAAGACATGTCTGTCTCCTCCCTAAAACCTTGCCACTGTTCCTAAGCCAAGATAGGCATCCAGCATTATTTAAGCAGAAAAATCTTATGCTGGATTTTTCAGCAGAGTTATTCTGCTCTTCCATTTAAGAGATTAACATACTGCAACTGCTGCTTCTACTATTCAATGCAAGGACAACCTGTGAGTTTCTTTCTGTATGAAACTTGGTTATTTATTTCTGCCCTTTGCCTCTTGCCTGCTAAGTAGATTTAATGCTGAGATCACATTTTTACTCCTTTATTATATTTCCTTAATTGTCATTTTCATTTTGCTCTAGAATAGTTTTCACATAATCTTAGAAAGTATATTTAGTGACTCTTGTATTATCTGCCAATTATTTTGATTTCCCAAAATGGAAGTAAAAGAAAACTGGCAGGGACTAGTCCTGCAAGTTGAATTCTGGTTAGAGTCACCTGCAGATGATTTGGGTTCTCTCCTAAAAAGTTCAGAGATTTGGGTACCCTCCTAAAAAGCTTCTCTCTCATTTCCCAATTATTCTATTACTTCTTCTGAAATTGAAGCACAATTCTGTGATTTATAACTTGAGAGATCAATCTTTTTCTACATTCCTGTAAAAGATGGTACAATATTGACCACTTTCCAGGCACAGAGCATGATAGTCACAGAAAAATGATACATCATATTTTGCTACAACCTCAGCTATTTCTGCCTTGAGTTCCTCTGACCAATGACCCTTGGTATCAATACTACATTGGAGTTCAATTTCTCAAGTGACTCTAACATTTTGAGGAGTTCCTATTTATGCATATTAGCATACTCACTGACCAGAGCCTTCCCATGTCTTCTTTTTCCCTCTAAAGCTGCTTCACATTTATGGAGGTCTAATGCATCCCTCAAGGTGGCTAATGACACCTTCACAATGAAACATCATGAGGCAGGTTAAGGTTAAGTTTATCAACACAGGACAGAAGTTACAGACTCTACATAAGCCTTGGTGTGTTTACTTAAGTCAACTTCAAAAGAGCATCACAAAGCTCTTTCCCAACAACCGGTTGCTAAAATTTGGTTCATTAGAGTAAAGAATGAAGGTCTCTTCCATTCCTAAGAAAGTATTCCATGGGAACAATGGCACCTCCTATGACACAACATCCCACTTGGGAAACCCTATTCTCTTCTACCGTAAGTTATATCCTTTTCTTCCCCAACTTCCAACAATTGCAGGCCAACCTCTTCAACAGAAAAAAATATAATTACTAAAAACACCACAAGCATTTGAAGGTGCTCTGTAGTATATCCTAAATTTGAATTGCATACTAGCTTTTAATGAGAATTCCACTTACAAAAATAATCTGGCATTTACTAGCACACAATGGCAGATTTCCCCTCGCACTCCAAAGTCTGTGTCCTCTCTTGAGGTAGAATGGCATATACTGGCTCCCCCAAACACAGAGGAGGGCCCTCTCAGGAAGAGAGCTAGAAAACACTTTTCAGTCTGTAAATTCTAGCATTATTATCTACTCTTAACTCTTATGTCACCTTATATCAGTCACTTAATTCAAATGCTAGAAATAAGTAACCAAGGAGTCACAGTTGGCAGAGAAATAAAAAATGAACTGCTGTTGAGGTTATCCTCCGAGAAGGAATTATTCAGAACACATATAAATCCCTCCTAATTCACCACCCAGGTCAAATTACTCTCTACCCAAAGGTTTTATTTACACACTTCCATCATTTGCTCAAGTCCTGTGCATGTGTGCTTGATATGTTATAGTGAATCCTACCTCTGTCCCTCACTTGTAGTGTGATCTTGTACAACATTATTTAATTCTTAGAGCTTTGGGGTCTTGACCTTTAAAAATGTAATGCTATCTATGTCATAGAATTATTGCAACAATTTTATTATAGAAAGCATCAAGCACTGGTTAGACACATTCTGCATAATCAGTAAATGAAAGATAATATTAAACATAGAGGCCATATTTTTAAAAAAAGGATTAATAGCTTGAATGGACTTTCAGGAAGAAAGGGAGATAGGGGATGTGACTAAATTCTGTTCATCCCATGACAAGCATCTAAAATTGTCTGTGGTGAATCAACTGAACAGAGGCTGAGTGTATGCCCTCCTGAGAATTCAGTGCAATGCTGTAGTCTCCCTCCCCCCAAAACAGAGTAGTCTTATTGCTGTTGAGAAGATCTCAGAAGCTATCATGCCCAAAAAGCAGTGGATACCAGCCATCAGATGAAATTACCTTCCACAAGACTGAAATCTTTGAGGAACAAGACTGGTAAGAATGGGGTTATGAATCGACCAGCATACTGGGTCTTCAGTCTAGAAAGACTTTGATGCAGTAGAAAAATAAGAGAGGACTGGAAGGCAGTAGACCTAAACCATTCTTCCATCATCCACTCCACATTTCACTTTGTTTTCCTTGATTTCAATTTCTGTTTTTTTCATGTCCCTGTTTATCTCTTACTGGTTTCCTGAACATAATGTCGAACTGAAATATGTACATTTTATACTCCATACTTATGAAAATCTCATATTATCCAGTCTTTATTTTTAAATGTAAATCAGGCATATTATATTTCTTCTAGGAAAAAATAGTTAATGAAGCTATTTCTAAATTTCTGAATTACTAAATTACTACTTACTCAGTTCCTCCTCCTTTAGATTATAGATTCCCCAGAGACTTATTAGAAAAGATTCACAATCTCACATGACCCATACAAACTTTTCTTCTATCTTTTTGTCTACTCCTTATTAAAAAGCAGCCAATTCTTTATGGCTGTTCTAATATCTAAACTTCACCTAAGAAGCAACCAGGTTTCCCTAATAGGACAATTTTATAGAAGATCCTGGGATACTTCCATGATCTAAATGGCTTGTCCAAAGTTAAACGGCAACTATTAACATGTATGTTTCTCTACATGGGCCATCCATTCAGACACATGACCTGTTAAGTGGTTATGACACAATCTTAAAATCATGAAAAGCCAAATGATCTTTTAGTAGATTAAATGTTTCTGGGAACTTGACCTTCCCCTAACTTCCCACCATTTACCAATACACTCAAAACATTTTTCACAAATAAAAAAAAAAGAACTTTTAGCTATTCTTTCCACCTACATTGGAAACCATAATTATTATCATGGAAGTGTATACATCAATTGATGCTTTTAAGAGAGGCCAAGTCTAAATCAAATTTAGTTTGGATTCTCTCCACTAAACAAAGGACATACTAATGTTTTACTTATAGTTTGGTGGAAGTCCAATAAAATGTTTGTTAAATATGTAAGATAATAAATAATGACCTGTTAAATGTTTATTACTGAGTATTAACTTTCTAGGGAGAATGAACTCAATTATCTGATATGGGTGGATCATCAAAACTGTGAAAGATTTTTGAAGGTCATTAATGTAAGCATCAATTAAATACAAATCAGTAAGATTTATGGAACACCTTCTACATTCCAGTTGTTGATGTTTGGAACATAATAGGTTCTCCATAAATGTGTATTAAATTTCCATTTAATTTCCAATAACGACCTTTAAAACTTTGTTTAAAAAAGAATAATATAAATCCTATGCCTTCTAGAAGCTCAGAAGCTACTCAGAGAGACAGAAATGTACAAATAAAAAATATACTGCCATAGGTACTAAAAATGAGTATATATCAAGAGGGAACAACTGGTTCTTCCCAGGATGGATAGGACAGAGCATGTAACAAAGGATATCAGAGGGAGGTGACATTAGGAACAGGGTCTTAAAAAAAGGACAGATCTCGTATCTTTCCAGTACATATGCTACTCTGCTAACAGGGTGATCATTTTAAAACCCAAAACTAATTGAGCTACTTCCCTGCTAAAACTCATATGTATAT